ATCTATCTATCTATCTATCTATCTATCTATCTATCTATCTATCTATCTATCTATCTATCTATCTATCTAAATACAATAGAGGTAAGAGATTAGCATTAAGAAGGGTTGGGTAAGGCTTTTTGTACAACGGTGGACTATTGCTGAGACTTGAAGGAAGTCAAGATAGCTAGGTGGCATAGATGAGGAGGGAGATAATTCTTGGCATGGGGGATAGCAAGTGAAAACTTGATAGTTGGGAGATAAAATTTCTAGTGTGGGAAATAGTAAGGAGGCCAGTGTCACTGGGTCCCAGACAATGTGGCAGAGGTATATGGCATAAGGTATAAGAAAACTTGAGAAGTAGGAAAGAGAAAGATTATCAAGGGCTTTACAAGCCAGAGGATTTTATATTTGCTCCAGGGGGCAATAGGAAGCCATCGGAGTTGATTAGAGAACGGGTTATAGTCAGTTTTGTGCTTTAGGAAGATCACTTTAGTAGCTGATTTGAGGATGTGCTAGAGTGAGACAGTTGGAACTGATAGTGGGTTGCAACATCACTAGTCCAGAAGTGAGGTGATAGGAACCTGTACCAATGTGATATCAGTGTCAGAGGAGAGAAGGGGACATATAGGATAGATAAAATGCAAATATAAATGACAAGACTTAGCAACATATTGTGTAGGAGAGTAATAATGAAGAGTCAAAGGTGACACCTAGGTATCATCTAATGTGGTGGCACCCATAACAATAATAGGGATATTAGGAAGAGCTAGGGTTTGGGGGGGGGGAGATGCATTCAGTTTTAGACACCTTTAATTTAAGATGCCTATGAGACATCACTGTACCTATTTTGTACATAACTATATATGTACATTCTATCTCCCCTGCATAGACTGTAGGCTCTTTCAGGGTAAGAAAGAAAGAAAGACGTTAAGAAAGAAGAAAGCTAAGTAGGAAGGAAGAAAACAAGCACTTATTTAAGTACCTACTATGTGCCAGGCGATGTGCTAAGCGCTTCACAAATATTACCTCATTTTATCCTCACAATAACTTTGTCAGATAGGTGCTATTATTGCTCTCATTTTACAGATGAAGAAACTGAGGCAAACAGAGGTTAAATGACTGCCCAAGATCACACAGAGCCTAAGGACAAATATGAACTCAGATCAGAAAGACTCTAAATCTTGTACTCTATTTACTTCATCACTAAATTTCCACTTTGCTGCTGAGACTTCTTTCATTTTTATGTTTGTATCCTAAGTGCCTAGCACAGTGTTTGGCACAAAATAGGTGCTTAATAAATATGTTGATTGAATAAAATGTCAAGTGTGAGTGACAGCACCAAACTTGGTAGTATTCTATCAGAATCATAAAATCTTAGAATTAAAAAAGTAGCTCAGCTACTATGTAATGTGGATTCCCTTTATAACATGTCTGACAAATGTTCCACCAGACTCCGTTTGATTATCTCCATAAGAGTTATAACCAGGAATTCTAGTGCTTGGGATTAGTGTGGTGATGGGAGGAGCAACCTTGATCTAGAATCTTTATTTGGATCATAGCTTGGGAAGTTGAAGCAGACACCCCGTGATCTGATTTGGAACTTTCCAAATACCTTTGAAAAATTGATGTCAAGACTTTTTTTGTCTATAAAAATGAATAGAAATCACTGGATTTGTGGTATAAACATTTTAATAGAAAATTCACATTATTATTGACACTGTGATAATTTAAATCATAAATATGTGCTTTCATGTTCTAAATAGGATAGTTTAATATCTAGTTAAATTTCACTTTATCTGCTCTTAAAAATAAAACCATCAAGAGTAGTAGTGACAGTATGATATAAATACTTTAAAAATGATCACCCATGTTAATGGCAATAACACGCTTTCATATATAATAACAATATTATCTAACCTCAGTCAAAAACATTTTTGTGAGTTATTCATCTTGCCCTATCATGCCCAATTGTATATTTTCCATTGGACCTGGATGCCTTTTTTTTACTGTTATTTTTATGTCCTTTATTAACAGTTGCTATGTAAAAACCTTTTCTATTCTGAGGGATATTTTTCAGCACTTAAGTATGAACTCGTCTTGTGATAATGCTGCGGTAACTCCTTCCTCTTTCGATCCTTGAGTTTTCATCTGGCTTACTCTTCTTCAGACTGTGATTCTGTCTGCAATGTGCCTGCTAATCCTTGCTGAGTCATTTGTACTTCCCCTAATCTTCTTGAATCACCCTGCAAGGCAAAGTTACTGTTGTTCACACAGGGAGACACACTGGAGCATTCCCTTTGGATCTGATGACATCTTCAGTTCCCCAGGTCCTCCAGAAACTAGTCACTTAAGGCTGTTACCCTGAAGTTCACTCAGCAGTTTTAAGTAAACTTCAGATTTAAGGAACCGGGGGTAGGAGTCCCTCTCCATAAGTGTATATATAACTTTTTGGGCTTCATCAAAGCTTGTGGGAGTTGGCACTTGAATCTTCTTAGCTGTAGACTCACGGGTATGAAAATCAATATTAATCTAAAAGACAAAAAACCCAACATAATTAACTGCTGTCTTTCCCCACTAATTCTAATAAGTTTGTTAAAACTTTATATTAAAACATCTTATCAAGAATTTAATTCAACAAACATTTATACATCTCCTCTACTATGGTATGAACCCTGTTCTAGGTGCTGGCAATACAAATCCAAAAAATAAATAATCCTAGTCTTCAGGAAGCTTATATTCCAGTGGACATTACTTTAAAATGACTGGTGGTTCCAAAGTAGTTGGGGTTTTAAGTCTCTAGTCTGAAGACCTGGTTACATATCCTGCCTTGACTGCTTACTATCTGTTGACCTTGGGCATGTCACAGTCTTCTGGGCTTTAGTTTCTTCACTTGTAAAATGAGGTGGTTGGACACAAGATGGACTCAGGGGTCTCTCTCAACTACAGCTCTATGATGTTATGATCCTGTGATTCTATACACTTATTTCAATTAAGCAGATAGATTCCTTCGCCTTCCTGATCTCCCCATCACTGCATATTCAAACACCATATCAGGTACTGTGGAGTAGACAAAACAATACTGTATAAAATTTTTCTTTCCTCAGTGCTTACACTTTCAGTAATAGTACAAGGTGCACATACACATGATACAGCTGAATAATAGTTGAAGTCATTGTAGGCTTAAGGATCCATATTAGTGGTAAAGACCATTAAGAACTACAGAAGGTTAGAGAAGAGAAACAATTATCTGGCATGCTTTTGGCACCTTTAACATTGGTCCAGTGCCTTTTATCAAACAGGAAGATAGGTCCATAGCAAAGTGACTATTGATTGTTGCTATTGAATTTGCCAATAAATCACATGGTTTTAGAACTAAGGGAAACTTAGAGATCATCTAGTCCAAAATCCTCATTTTAGAGATCAGAAAATTGAGGCCTCAAAGGAGGTACATAATTTGCTCAAGGCCCCATATATAGTAACTGACAAAGTCAGGAACCAAACCTAGAACTTCTGACTCTAGATGTGTTGCCCTTTCTATCACATCATTGCTGCCTCCTTTCCCTCCATCACAGTCTGCAATTTCTAATTGCCAAGCCTGTGGCGCATCATCAATAATTACCCTAAAACTTCAATCTGCTAGAAAAATAAAAAGAACCCCATACTCAGAGGCTAGACAATAATCCAATAGAGCTGCTCTATGTGAGCATTCTCTACAACAATGGAAATCACAGTCTATTTTGCAAAATGTATTTCATCCAATGTATGCTAATCTAGTCATAAATATTGACAATCAGTATTTTTGAATGTATACTATTCTAGAAAGAGAAACATTAAGACTTTGGCCTTTTTATTCATAGTTTCACAAGATCACAATTTAAGCGCTGAAAGTGACCTGAGCAAGAGATTTTCTAGTCCAACTCTTTCATTTTTTATATCAGAGGCCCAGAAGTTTCAGCAATTCTGCCCAAGGGTACCCAGGGATCAAGGGGCAGGCCTGGGATTGAGCCATGATAGAAAGGGGTGTCCTTGGTATGGAGTTTAAAGGTCATTTTTAGTCATATTGATGCTTAACTTGATTAGCCCTTTACTTACTTGTTTTGTAGCATCTGATTGAACAAATGCCTTGTAAATCTTTTCAGCTTTGCGGTGCAAATGATCAGATTCTGTTCGTTTGTAATCTTCACAGGCCAACCAGAACTCAATATTCTCCTCACTGAACTCTGATTTTAGAAAGTTACCAAAGACAGCTTGCCCAGCTAGAAATTAAAATGAAATAAAATAAAACTTTAAGTTAATTGAACTTTTAAATTCATGACAAAGATAAAGTATGTAAGAAGACTAGAACATATATTCTCTTGTTATGAGAGCCAAAGGATGTTACTAAAATGCTAGTATGATGGTATGTAAGATTCTTAGAATTAAAAGGGATTTTAGAGATTTTCTAGTCCAATTCCCTTATTTTACAATGAAGTAATGGGAGTTCAGAGACATTCAGAGCCACACAAGTATCTAGTGACAAATGGAGAGCAATGCTTCATTGTAATATATAAATTTTTTGTGTTGTAGAAAGGACGAATCCTTTTTAGGTATATTAGATATTATCCTCATTAAGATCCCTTTTAACTTCTGAAATTCTGTGAACCACAAAATAATCACTTCTCTCTGCTACTTTGTAGTAACTTTTATTCAGAATGTATTTTTTAAAAAATGAACTTCAATTATCAGAACATTCCTGTGAGTTTAATAGTTAGAGTATTATCTCCCCCATTCTAGCAGCTTGGCATACTGGTAAGAGCATTGGACTACCAGTTAGAAGACAAGTTTTCTAATCCCAACTCTGCCATTACCTGGCTGTATGGCCTTGGGCAAATAATTTAACTTCTATTTTCCTCATCTATAAAATAAGGAAGTTGGACTAGATGAAATCCATGGTCCTTTTTTTGCTCTCACATTCTATCATTCTAGGCAAGAGAAACTGAGACATAGGCTTTGCCTCTACGTGTCCACTGACCTTCATTTTAATTAACTTTGTTTAATCTTATTAAGAGCTAAAGGCTATAAAGTAGATTAGTTTAGCCCTATACAAGAATCTGCATCATTCAGTTGGAAATAACTGACCCAACCACAAAAGAAGTGCATTCAATTGTTCTAATATACATGGAAATCTATTGACTAAAGGGGTTAGTTGCTTAACAAGATTCTTTGGGAAGTCTGTGAGACCAGCTTCAACTCACAAACTGGTTAGAATCCTCTAGTATCTCTCTTAACAAGCAGCATACCTAACAAAGCCAGTTATGAGCCAGCTAATTTATACTGTGCACATGGGAAGAAGAAAAATTGATAGCATTTCAGATCAGGGGAAAAAAAAATCCACCAGTCTCTTTGCTCTTTTCAAACAACTTCAACTTTCTATGTTTTACATTTAGACAAGAACTGGAAACAGAAATACTTTGAAGAAAGGCAATGGAGACATTGCCACAGTTCTGAATAATATTCTACTTTGGGGATCTGGGCATGCTCTTATTGGTTTGCTCTTACATCATCCCCTCGGCCTCCTGCCTAGGCACATTTGTCTGGAAACAGGTACAGAATCAAGTGGATAACAACTCGTGATGCATGTTATACTAATGCCATCAGTAACCATGAAGAAGCAAGAACACGAGATTTTTTTTTTAAAGTAACCTACACTCTCTATATTGTATCTCAGAGCAGACATATCCTTTGCCATGAAATTTAATTTTGATATAAGAAATCAGTATCAATCCTCTCTACTTACTTTGGTTGGTGAGAAGTTTTTCCAGAGACTGAGACCACTGTATTACTTCTGTTGCAGAAAGTCTACAGAGAAGGAAAAGTTTAATTAAATTAGCAAATTATGCATTTAATTTGAAAAAAAAAAAGATTCTTTTTCAATGTGTTTGCCAGTGGCTTTTGGTAACATTTCAGATCAAGGTCAGGGCTGGTAATGAATTTTATTAATAAACTAACTGATTGTAAGGACTTTAGAGCCCTTCAATAGGATCAACTAAAATTCCACTGAAAATAAAATAGAAAAAAATGCTCTTTGCTAATTCAATGCAAAATAATATGAAATTAAATAAAATCAACTTGGTTTGCTACCTGAAAAATATACTCTTAAGTGGGTTGAAATCTGAAATCAATTAATATGCATCTTCTGGGGACTTATCTTGTTAAAATGCAGGTATAATGATTAGGTAACTACTGTGGTTAATACTAACGAATCATTGAAATAGACTACTTACATGTCTTTGGACTTGGAAGATTTGATCCCAGATTCCAGATGTGGTAACATGGATTTCAAATAGGCTTTCAGGTCTGTTCCACTACAAAAGAGAGTAAAACTGATAATAAGTATCTGTGGTTTTATACATTTACACATATAAAAGCAAACATCATCACCACCACCACAGAAAGTACCTTTGGTTAAATCTAGCAAGAAACAATTTTGATGAATTATTCTATTCTATTGTATGTTAAATTGAAATCTACATTCATGTGGAGAACTCTGTAGAAATCCTCACCTAAGGTTAGCGCAATTTATATCCCTTTCAATTCACGACAAAAAATTACAGTAGCACTCCCCGCAAGTGATAGCTAAGTACTCAGCTCTCCCTTCCTTATACTTATTCTCCCGCCATTTAAAATCGTTTAATTTCAAAATGCAAAGCATGAAGTCAATTAAACTTACAAAGCCTTTGGTCTCTTTTTCTGAGTTTTGTCATCTAGTAGACAGTGATCAGATCCTTTCAATTCACCAGGGTTAGCAGAGGGAAAGAATATTCCTGGCATTTTGTTTAGTCTTGGAGTGGAGATGGCTGCTGCTCTCATAGTCACCACTCTGAATGGCTGTTCATCAACGGTTGCATAGCTTTATATAGTAAATGCAAACTGGCTCTCTCTCTATACAGACCAATCTGTTTATCAAGTGATGTTACCACAGAACTGGAAGTTCCCTTTTTCTGGGCTCCTTGTGACGTGTATCTTGAAAGAAAACATACTGTGATGTCTTGTGGTTGAAACCTAATCAAATGAGAACAGGTTGCTTGGTTAGAAAATGCACACACATACATATATGTACACATACACAGAGTGTTTCTTGAACATTAGAACTGCAAACCACCAGGCTTAGGTGATGTTTGTCTGGGTTTAATTGCATCACAAGATTGCAAGGTTAAAATTTGCCTGAAAGTTTAACTTGAAGAGCTTTAAGGGATTTTTTTTAATTCCCACTGTTTAGCTATAGACACATTTTGCTGTGGGTGTGACCACTCATCATGTGCTTACTGGGATATAGAATGTCCCAGTCACACTTTAACTTTCCACTAAATTTACTGGAATATGTCATTGCTTTATTCGTGGACAATATAGTAAGAGGTCAAGAAATTCCATTTGTGAAGTAGTTCTCTGTTGCAGTCACTGGCCTTGTTAAGCCCAGGGTTAAATAAAACTCAATTAGGCACAAATGTTAGTTTTATTTTAAAATAAATGTTCCAATTCTGCAGGGACTAGGGAAAATTAGTTCTTCTGTTTGCCTCTTTTGAATCACAGTTTGGTGGGCTGAGGGTACTAGGAAATAATAGTTTTCTATCTCAGCCCAATAGGTACAATTTATAGATCAAATATCCTTGTGATTCCTTGCTTATGCAAACAGGGCAGAACAGATGTGAACCTTGCCAAGGTAGGTTGATATGTACTCTCCTGGTGATGCTGCAAAAAACTCAGGCAGCATTCCTACAATGGTATAGCCAAACCAGCTTTGAAATGTACAGGATCAAAGGTTTAGAGCTCTATGGAGGTCACCTAGACTAAACCTCTTTTTGCAGATGTGACTTGTCAAGTGACATGCTAAGAATGCACAGATAATAAATGGCAGAGACAGGGTCTAATTTACAATCTCTGAATCTAAATCCAATAGCTTCCACACATTGCCTCTATAGGTAGATACTTCTGGTCAGGCCTGACCCTCCCTTCCCCCTCCCCCCAAAAAAGGGGAAGAGTGAGATGGAAATGAATTGTTTAAGGGAGTGACTTTTAATCAGCTGTTGTCTCTTGAGACAATAGTTAGCAACTGGCTGATCCTTTCACTTATCTTTTTGCTTGCCCTGGCAAGGATGTAAATACATTGTGCAATGTCTTACCCTGGTCTCAACTGACAATAAGCTTTTCAATTTAGCCTCTCAACAACTTGGTGAATAGCTACCAAAGCTAGTATTATCCCCATTTTCCAGATGGGGTGCCTAAATTTTAGAGAGTTGCCCTATTTTGTCCAGAGAGACTTCTGACAACAGTACATGCTTCTGTTTAAGAGTAAACAAAAGATGGGTGAGGGGGAGAGGAGAAATTATGGAAACTGTTTTCTTGATCTATTTGCATGTTTTAACAGAAGAGATAATAGGAATGGGAGCTATTAATATTATATGTAGATGTGTCAGTTTATTCGTGTATTAAGGTTCAGCAAGGAGGGAAGAAGTCTGGTGTGTGTATGTGTGGTGGGGGTAAGTAATCAGAAGACCCAAGTTCTAATCCTCAATTTTTGCTCTATTGCTATCTAGCCATGGGGCTGTAGCAAATGATTTGACCTTCCCTCTGAGAATATCTACACTTTTTCCTGCAGATAGCTTGTTTGTGCAGAGTTGTTTACATGTTGTCTCCTCATTAGACTATAAGCTCCTTCAAAGCAGGGACTGTTTTTTGCCTTTGTTTTTAAATGTGTCCAGTCCTTAGAACAGTGTCTAGCACATATTAGGCACTTAAAAAATGCTTGTTGACTTGACCTCTCCTTTTCACATTACTATAAAATATGAGAGACATCAATACCCTTGATAAACACCTTCATAGTATTTTTTTTTTAGGCAATTGGCATTAAGTGACTTGCCCAGAGCCACACAGTTACTAAGTGTTATGTGTCTGAGGTCAGATTTGAACTCAGGTCCTCCTGACTTTAGGGCCAGTGCTCTATCCACTGCACCATCTAGCTGCTCCGTACCTTCAGAGTATTAAGATTTTCTTAGTTTACTTGTAGTTGCAGTGAATGGGAAATATTTGGTTCCCATGGTCCAAGTTGGGATGGTGGGAAATATAAGCTATGGAGGGGTATAAAGTAGCAATTGAGATAACATGATAACCTATGAAAGGGGACTGGCAAGATTTGTGCTGAACCACATAAAACTTGAGTCTCAAAGCCTGATGACACAAATATATTGGTTTATACATTTCCTGTGGTTTAGTCTTTACTTATACTCCCTGTTTAAATTATGACTCTGACTGATATATTTGTAACTCATGTTCCAGGGTCCTCTGAAGAATCTAGGATCATATGAACCAGGTTAGATCATGGGGACCTGACCGTGATCAGATTCTCTCTGGTCAGGCATGCTTTTTCCCCCTTCAATTCTGAGTAATTGCAGTGGTGAAGGACAGAGTGTCAGGTATCATGGTCATATAAATATGAACAAAATAATCTAGTTATACCACTTTCTGTGTCTTCATTTTGGTCTTAACTCAGAGAGATTAATTTTGTGAAAACTTGTCATTACTTCAACTGAAAATGTGGAACTAAGGCTGAAGAAGTTTTAGAGGGTATGACCCAGACCTATGTGCTCAAAGCTTCCTATAAGCAATCCTGTATTATATCCAGTTTTAAAATTTGTATCGTACAACAAATAGGAAACAGTGAAAAAATACAAGATCAGGACTATTTTTTTTTTCAATTCATTTGAATTCAATAATCACTTACTAAATATTATGTGCAAGGCATTATGTTAGACTCTGGAGATTTAAAAACAAATGAAACATAGCTTACATTCTAGTGGGAACTGGGGACATATTGGGGATATAACATTCAAACAAAAAAATATGATATTCTCAGGGGGATCAGGAAAGCCTTACAGCCTGTTTAAAAGTACAGCAGCATGAGATAGAATGCCAAGTTTGGGTAAAAGTAAGCAGACCAGCTTGTATGGAAAATTGAGTTTCTGAAGGGGATTAATATGGATAAGTCCAGAAAGTTAGACTGAAGCCAGATTACATAGAGCTTTATATTTTAAACGGAAAAGAGGCTAGAGGGAGTCACTAAAAATTCTCGAGGAGAGAAACAACAGAGATTTTTGCTTTAAGAAGATTATTTTGCCAGCTCTGTGGACGATGATTTGGTAAGGGGAGAGAATAGAAGCTGGGAATTCAATTAGGAGGCTGTTACACAGAGTAGTGCAGGTGAGAAATGATGAGGTTGATGTTATAAGGGGGTAAAGAGGGAGCAGGTGCGAGTTACTTCATGGAAGTAGAATTGACCAGATGGCAATTGATTGGCTATAAAGGATAAGGGAAGGTCAAGAGTCAAGGATGACTAGGAAGTTGTATATCTGGGTAGCTAAAAGGATGACGGAGCCTTCCACAAAATCAAGAATTTGAAAAGGGAGTAAGTTTTAGAGAGAAGATCCATTTTAGATGTGTTGAGTTTGGGATGACTCTGGTGGAACATAAAAGTAAATACTCAGTTAACACCCATCAAGAATGTAAGGTGAATTTTAGTGTCTGTAAGGTGGATTTTTGTTATTCTTTATTAGAGTCTTTTCCCCCAGGATCCATAGTCATAACAATCTCTAGTTTCCAGGTGTTAGATATGAGTTCTCACAATCATGGTTGAAAACAGTTTCTACTGCGAAGTGGCAGTAGATATAGGGATGAAGTAATGTAAAATTGCGAAGCTATTGTTGGAAATATCCCTTCTCTGTCTATTGCCCTATAAAGCAGGTGGGCACTGGTCAGTGAGGGGGGACCCCCTTAGGGGTGGATGCACAAGCTAAAATGCCGTGAGTGTCTTGGTAGGCCCCCATCAAAGCTTGGAAGGGGGAATCTGTGTGTTTGTCTCAATTGGCCTGCATTGAGGCTTGAGGGGATTTAGGGGAATGAACAAATTGTGCCTGTCTCAATTGACCCCATGGAAAGGTTATTGACTCCCCCCTTCAACCTGGACCCTGTGAGAAGGGCTATTAGGGAAAACTGTAGGAGTTGATGTTCCCATTATCATCAAATTCCCTTTGAGAAGACTAGCCCAGAATAAAGTAAGTTTATTTAACCCCTTATTATGACTCCATTCCTGTCTTCTTGTCTGACTGGATTAAAAGCAAACCTACTAGTTAGAGAGGTGCTAGAAGCCCTCCTGTGTGTCTCCCACCTAAGAAATGGTGTAGGTGATGTGTTTACCTATCTAACAAGGAAATTGTGCCCTCGAATTTCTTTGACCCAATTAATTTCAATAAGCCCACTACTTTTCCACATTAAGAAATGTTTGCAATTGTGAAGCTGAAATCTATGTCTGAAACAATGAACAGACAATAGTCAATATAGTTATTTCAACAATCTTATTAAGTTCATCAGATAGTTGTGTGGTTAAAAGTAGTGGGAATGAACACAAAATTCTACAATCAGCAAACATCCATTAGCTCTGTGTGCATCATGCTAGGTGTTGGGAAGAAAAAACACCATCACAAAGTTTAGGTAAGATATGTGCATATCTTGAAGACGATTACAGGCTATTAGAGGGATTAAAGAGGTAAGGTACACAGTTTTATTAATATACTAATTCAACAAATATTTAGTGTGAGTCTACTCTGTATAGAGTACTTATGCTGTATACTCTCCATATTGGAAGTTAATGAGGTACAACAGAAGAAATACTGAACTTAAGGTCATAAAACCCGAGTTCAAATCCCTGTTCTACTTACTTCATATGGCCCTGGGTAAGTCTCTCAGCCTCTTTGGGTCTCAACCTCTTTGGGTCTGTTTTCTTGAAGGTATTGGACTAGATGACTTCTAAATTCTGATTAACAGTAATTATGGCTATTCTAGGTTCTTGTTACACAC